AACAATTCCGTATATCTTCAGTTCCATGAACTCGATTGATCCACTATTTCGAATGTTTTCTTGAAATTATCGATATTTCTCGAGATAAGTGAATGCGAGGTGACTGTTTAATAAATCAATGTTTCCTTAAGAAATAAATAAACAATTAGAGTTGATCATTTCGCCAACTTCGTCAAATAGTTTAGTCACTCTACTGCACTAGAAGGAAATAGCGACGCGTGCTAGGAAATTCGATGACAAGCAAAAAAAACGTGCTTAATTCGTTCAAGAGACGATCATTGTGAAGATCGACCAATCGAGTGCCAATTTGCATCGACACCCACACCCTTACTAGCTTTTCTTTCTCGAGAGAAAATTTTTCTGATGAAGTCAATGCGAAGACAATTAAGAGACCATTTGTATCTTCTGTTCTTTCCAAAGGCAACAGACAAGAGAAACATTCTTCAGTATCAATTGGCTTTATCAAATCGGTGTCTCAAAGACTTTAGACAGAAAAAAATCGCTTGAGGCTCGAATGAACTTCGAATCTCATTGTCGAAAACTAAGACAGACACTCATGATAATCTTCATCGATTTATCACTTTCAACGAATCTATCGATATTCTTTTTGGAAAGATGTTTGTTTCTTTGATATGTCAATTCCTCAGTAGGCTCGCCAAATGTCTGATCGACTCTTCTGTCAAGATCCTTGACCCATGTGATTGTTATTAATCAATCAAAGAGACCTACAACGGATATGTTTGTTCAATAAAGTCTTCTTAACATGATCGAACAAATGGAAGGACACCTAATGATTTATTGATGTGAAAAGGCATTAGTTTACTGTTAAAGCAAAAAAAGACTTAAAGATGGAAAAAGAAGAATCAATGTTCGAATCATAAGAGAAAATCATTTCTTGGCGATAACTCCGATGACATGAGGTAAACGAACAAGATCATCGAAAAACGAAACATTGTCAATCTTTGGATTGCATTGAACCGGAACCCATTCGAACGATGAAAAACCACATTCTTTGAATAAATCTTCATAAGTTGAAGGAAACATATAATAATTGAAAAAAACACATTTGGAAGGCTTGTTAACATCCCAATAATACGTATATTTAATGGGTTGACCTTCACGCAGAGTATCACCTGAATGTTCTCGAAAAAATGTGTACTTCTTGTGCATTGGATTATTGAATGCATCACTCGAACTACAAACATTTTCATTCATTAAATAAAATGATCCACCAGGCTTAAGTTGGTCACAAGCACTTTTAATCATTGCACGAAGATCATCACGTGTTTGAGCATAATTTAAATAATAGACGGCAGTGATTATATCATAAGGTGCCTCGCTAACGGGCAAATCTTTACCATCGGCACAAATATAATCGATATTTTTTGGAGACTCAGTTTCACGTTGTTTAGCAATATCGATCATCGATGAACTAATATCAATTCCACATATATATGACGCATCAGGAAACAAATCTCGTAATTTGCGCGTGTAATGTCCATCACCACAAGCTAAATCAAGAATGCGTGCATTTTTGCCATGTTCACGTTCGTTCTTCAACAACATTGTATCAAAGAATGTATACTGTTCGACTGCTGTGCGATATGGAGCTTTTTTGAAATCCACATATTGTTCGGCAATTGAGTCGTAAATTTCTTTGGCGTCGTTAGATCGTTCGGCTACGATGGACATTTTTTACACGTTTCTTTTCGAGAATGGATTGTCCTATGGTAAGCTCGATGCTTTTATTGTTGATAACACACCTGATTCTTTTTCTCACTGATAACGATATTCGTAAGAATGACATCACAACGTCACTTTTTCACTAATAATATTGTCGTTTTTTCTTTCAGATTTACTTCCTACCAAGGACAAAGAAAAGAGACGAGATATTTTTTTACATCGATTATTCACAACATTTTTCACCATTAATTTGACTTGCTAAAAAATGATTTTGTCCGACATGATCATCATTCATCTCTCAAAGTAGCATTCAAAATAGCCAATGACGCATTTATGTTCTCAAGAGATTTTTATTGAAATTTTTCTCGTAAAAATCTTTGTTACTGCTTGATAAACTCAACATTACTTTTGACTACCTCTAGAGAGTATTCAATATCAATGACGGTACTATGATGTACTTAAATCTATCGAGACCTTCACAGAGTGAAGAGCTTTAGCATAAGCAGAAAAAAAAATGATAGAAAAACGTACGCTATGTGGAGCTAAACTTTATCACTATTCACTTTTTAATGTGCTCTTTCCAAGAAACTGTTTAAAAACCTCCAGTCATTTGTTTTACAGTCTTTCTAGAACACAGTAGATTTATGGAATTTTTAAGAACTACTATATATTTAATATGGTATCTATTTTCATAAACAAAGAACGGCTGAGATATTTCTTTGCTAATAGAAACTATGATGAAATTAGCATGGACATCATTATAAAACGAGGAAGTATGGATAATAATAATATACGATGCGTCAACAATGGTTTTGAGGGAAGCCCCTATAATAATGAAGCACACTTTTAACCATTTGACGCTAAGGCCAAGATTAAGATTCATATATGATAGCATTCAGAAAAAAATTTGAGCCCAATCAAATCTTATCTCTAAGTAGAGTTTACACTATATGGAACGATAAAGTTTTGAGTAGATTGTTGGTTCAAAAGCCTGTTGACTTCTTCTGTAGTTTAAATTGAATTCGAATGATATTTTGTAAATGAAACTCAAAAGTTAGTAAGGTTTTTTTTGTGAGATTATTCAGAGATAGAATTTTACAGAGTGTTTCATAAATTTTGGTTCTATTTTTATTTTTACTTTATGTTTGCTGTATTTAAAGGTAAACAGACATTGTCTATATATTTTTGAAGAGCAACATCTAAGCTATCATTCACGAGAAATTGCAATCAATTTGTATTAATCCTATGAAAGCGCTGCATCAGTGAAAATAATGAAGAGATTTCATCAAATTTTTTAATATTCTGTATTATAATCGATAGGACAGAATAAATGGCTGCGTTTCACATTTCAATTTTTAATCACTTAATACGTTGTATTAAAAGAAGCAAAATACATCACAAGATGCAGCGTGAACAGCTCTACAACTTACTTTATCTATACACCTTTTCTTTTCAAATGGGACAAAATTCTCTGTGACCAATTTTCGACGTTGCGAACAAGATCATTTTATTGGTACACAAGTTCCTTTTCTTATTTCATCAATGAATGAATGAATCATTGTTTTTAACCTTATTCAATTGCATATTGTTGTAATTGGAACACATATTAATTAGTCCAAATTCGACCATCAAAATGATCTTATTCGCAACGTCAAAAATTGGTCACAGAGAATTTTGTCCCATTTGAAAAGAAAAGGTGTATATATAAAGTAAGTTGTAGAGCTTTTCACGCTGTCTCTTGTGGTGTATTTTACTTCTTTAATACAACGTATTAAGTGATTAAAAATTGAAATGCGAAACGCAGCTATTTATTCTGTCCCACTGGTTATAATACAGAATATTAAAAAAAAATTGATGAAAGTTTTTCACTATTTTCACTGATGCAGCACTTTCTCTTTGATGATAGCTTAGATACTGCTCTTGAAAAATATATATAGACAATATCTTTTTATGTTTAAATGAAGTAAAGATAAAATAGAAATAAAAATGGGGCTGAAACTTATGAAACATCCTTTATTAAGATTATATTTGACAAACTCTTTGATAATCATTAAAAATAGCATGTTTGCAAGTGAATGCAACATAAGATTTCTATTTAGACAAAGTTTTCTTTAATCTTAAGTTGTATCAAGTTTCTCAGTCACAGAAATGTCTATGAACTTTTAAACATATATTAATGGATTTCTTTCTACAAAGAAAACAGCAAGTTGAAAATGAACACATACGATACAAAGTCAATACGATATTATACAAATATTGGTTCTTTTATTAAAAAGCTGAATCAAATCAGAAAGTATTTCCCCTGCCATTCTAGTCATTTCAAAGGAAGCTTTGTCTTGATAAAAGCAATTATTTAGATAATAATAATAACAATATTGATTTTTATTTTAAAAAAAAAGCGATGCGATAAGGTGTCATAAATGCTACGTTATTTTGGAATGAATTTTTCTGAAAAAAAAGCACAGACAAATTTTCAATAGCCAACAAATTTTCAGTTTTTTCACTTTCTTTAAACTTCTAAACTTTTTGTCTCACATGTAGCGTAAAAAAGCAGAAGCTAGGAAACTTGTTTATAAATGAATATCTTAAATTTCAGTTTTTTATGCTCGTACATTCAAAAACAATGAAAAAATTATTCTTGATCAGCTCATGACACTTTATTTAAGCAAATATAAAGAAAAGAAAACAAAGTTCTATTTTCATGTTGCACTTTCGACGCCGTACAAAAAAATGTCAAATTTAGAAATTTTCTTTATTTAAATAAAAATGAACTGTATTTGTTGATGAATTATGATCATTTATTTTAATACATAAGGATTGAAGTTGTTTAACAAGTGGTTTTGGACCACAAACAAATACACCAATATGACGTTTTTGTGTCATTTGCCAGTCTTCATTAACAATATCTTGAAAATCAACATCAAAATTAGGTCGCCCATAATGTGTTTTACTTTCTAAACCGGTCCATATATCACGTTCATCAGCATTATTTTCTATAACTGCTCGAGCTTGTCTCATTGACCATTTTGTCAAATAAATATTATAAGTTAAAAAATTTGCTCGATCTCGAAAATCACGTTCAATATCTTGAAGCATTTTACCAAACCATTCATAACAAGAAGTTGTATCACATATCCAATAAAAATAAACACGACGAAGACGATCATGATTTGATTGAACTGAACGTATATGTTTTAATATAGCAGCATAAGGTGTTACTAAAAGTTTAAGAAAAACAAAACTGTTTGTTTCTTTAAATCAATCCAAAAAGAAATAATTTTTTTTCTTTTTCTTACCTCCAATTCCAGCACCAATAAGTATAACACCATCATAATTAAAAGTATCATCAGCTGCACTTCCGTATGGTCCATCAACTGCAAGTCTTGGTATATCTTGTGGATACATT